AAAATCTAAAATTTGTTACATTTCCAAATTAATGAATAAATTATTTGAAACATTAATTCAACAAGAACGCGCTTTTACTTGACCAAAATTTCCAAATAAACTTGTCACATTTTTAATACGTAATCACAATGTAATAAGAATAAAAATAGTTGATCGCGGGAATCGCTGCCGTCACGCAGCTGTAATCTACTCAATTCGATTCGCGTCGCGAAAAATTCGTCACGGGCGTGAAAGTGAGAGCGGCGTGGAGAAATGCAATACACCGGTGTGCGCCGGGAGAATATCAGGCATTTCGAACGCCAGAAATACGCGGGAACTCGTTTCCTTCTTGGTTGTAACCCGAGTATGAGGGGAGATCTGGCGCATGTGATGTTCTCCGAAGATGAGAAAGAAAGAGAGATAGAGAATAGGAGAGCAATGACGGAGAGGACGAAGGCAGGCCAAGGGAGGTGCGCGGGCAGAATCCTGAGAAGTGCATGTAAGCCAATATCTATCTCGTCCGAAATTAGACTTTCGGAATTCCTCACGGCGAGAGTGCGGCTTTCAAGACTGCGCGGTCCGCAGCTGGTTTATTGGCCCCTTGGCTTGCTCTCGTACTTGCGACTCCAAGATTCATCTCAATATCCGGTACGTTATATATTACGTATGTTATGTGCGGCTGCCCTCAAATCAACACAACGCTGTTTCCTACATGTCTCAGCTTCTACTTTTTTAAGAACTTCGATAGACTCACTTATATATTGATTTTCTCTTATAATAGAAAAATCAATATATCGATAATTTTTTAAATAAATATGAGTAAAGTGCTAATATGAGTCTTCAATTGTTTGATGTGTAAATAACATATTATACTTACAAAGCAATAAGATATAACGCGCAAACAATTGGAATGTACTTACAACAAATTTAACTGCAGACGTTTCGACTCTGGATCTGAGTCCTTCTCAGTTGCGGAAGTCAAGTTCAAACTACGCAAACTGTAGTTTGTACTTAATTTCCGTACTGAATAACTATTAATACATTGTATTTCCAATTGTGAATTATATCTTTTATTGTCTAATAAATATATTATTTACTTTTCAACAGCTGCAAAAGCTCATAGTGGTATTTTATTTGATTTATTCTTGAAGCTGCAAAACTATTTTTATTTTTATACTAATTATTATGTGCTCAAGATAGGAATATAGATTTTTTTAATGCGTATTAACAGATTAATATTATATTTAAAAATATTAATTATTTGCGAATGTATATATTAGAGTATATATTAAAATATTCTAATTAATGTGTTTTTATAAGATGATTTTATTTCCGCGAATATTTCAATTACTGTTATATTTCTATGAATAAATATATTAATGTTAATACTGGATCTTAATCCTGTTTTATCAAGATAAGTCACACAAAACACATAATTTATGCAAATTATATAGGCGATGAATTTTTAATAGCAATGCATTTCTCACCAAAAACTAAAGAAGACGTCGGTGAATGTTTCCGCGCATGTGAACAGCGCGAATACTATCCAGTACATCATCCATTTAACCTGAAACCAAGGAAATTCTAGAGGATTACAAAAATAGTATAATAGAGGATTACAAAAATAGTATAAAAGAAAACTGCAAATAAATTTCATATTTATCATTTACAGTGTAAAGAATATTTAAAAAATAATTACTGAGATAAAAAGTAAATATTATATTAAAATATAAATATTGCTTTAGAAAAGATAAATATTACTCCGAAAATCTATATACTTTATATATTTTATTATTCACAAAAAGAAAGAACAAAGAGATTCTAAAGATAAAATTAAATTAGGTTCTATTATTGCAAACTTTTCTTATAAAATAAGTAAAGCATAAAGATAAAAATGTATGATGACTACGTACATAGCAACATAAATATTCTCGCTTTGCGAGAAGAGCAAAAAAAAATGTTAAAAGATTCCCAATGTTTATTCAAATCAGTGCATTTGTGATGCAGATAACATTTAGATACAAATTGCTCAATCACTTGACATTGTGGCAATTTGCCATATGTACTTATGTAAAATATTATTAATTATGTAAAAATAAAAACAGAAATGTTGTAATCTTTTTGATCAAATTTTCAATGGAATCAATTCTTAAATTTTAAATTGGAATATCATATTTTGTAATTTAAACATAATTGAAAATATACCAATTATAAATTAAAATAAATAATTCTTTCTTGATCTTTAGAACGTTACTCTAAAAAAATTTATATAAATATTTTTCAAAAAATAAAAAAGATAGGAGAGTACATCAAAAAGTTAGTTTGTACTTATTTTAAATTAAATATTTTTGTAATGTTGGATTTAAAGGCTAAAATAGCATTTGCTAAGTTATTTATTGCCTGACTTTTTACTTATGTTTTTCACTTACGTATTCCTTGACATTTTTCGTGCGCACCGCCTTGTAGGAAGCGTATGCCGGGTACAAGGTGCCGAAGACCAATCTGAAAATCGGATAAACGAGCCTATAAATGAGAGATCGAGGCGACACTATCGCCAGGAACACCGTCAACAATCCGACGTTATTCAATGTCATTCTTATGGGAAATGTTTGCAGCCAATAACGGCACCAGGCCATCGCTTGTCTCGCTAAAAGCTCGCCGATTCCCGCCCTATGAATCACTGCAATCGGTAATTCATCCGATCGCGGTACGTCCTTTTCAAAAACATCTATCGTCGATTGACGGTCTTTTCTCATATCTATTGTATCCATCGTATTAGCAATTTATTTCTCTCTATCTCTCTTTCTCTCTCGCGTTGTGCGACAATGTTTCTCTAATCGTAAAATCTTGAATGCTTCCGGAGATCCTGCGACAATCGTCGAACGAGCACGACGAGTCGAGCTGCAACACAAAACAGAAATTATTTGAGAGATATCGTTACTATGTGTTAGTGACGCAATTACGAATTTAAGAAGATTCAATGGATGACAGATTTGATTAACGTGGGTACTATTTTAAGTACTTTAAGGTCTTGTTAGAGAAATCAACTTATCGGACTTGTTAAGGCTCCAATGAATGAGTTCGACGATTGGAATAATTATAGAACAGAATGACATAGTTCTATTTTTTGATAAAATTAAATATTAACCTAGCAAAATCGTTATAGCGAATTAATATCGACATGTGTCAGTTAGAAAACATTATAATGCTATGATAACACTCGAATATTCACACAGAAACAATTGACTAAATAAGTATAAATGAGAAATTTAAATTAATGTGTAAATGTATGTATACTCACAGACTAAAAGATTGCAACATTTTTTTTTAAATGGGTTTCGGAATGAAATCTGTTTTCGAGTGATTGATTCTTAGTTATGGATCCCGCATTCCAAAATCCATTAAAAGAAAAGTGTTGCAACGTTTTAGTCGGTGAGTATATATATATATATATACTACCAGGAAAAAACAATTTTTTTAATTAAATTTTTAATAAAAATTTTTTTTTAATCGGTCACTTAGTTCAAAAGATAGCACTTCATGTCAAAAGAATAGCCCCTTCATGCCCTACATTTTTATCAAAAAGAATTAAGATTTAGAGATCGCTAATGAACGATTTTTAAACCAAAGTTTCGATTTTTCTTAATACATGTTTAATTTAATGCAAAAATGGCTTAGTCCGGATTTCATACTGTATGTGATACTGTATGTTTTTTAAATCGCTGAATACGATGCAATAGTTCATTTAATTCTACGACATACGCCTTAAGAAATATAATGATTAATGTGGAAAAAATGACCAAATTTCGAGTTCAAGGTTGATCTAGCAAAGTCCCAAGTGTTTGAAATCTGGAAAATTAAGGAAAATCGAAACTTTGATTTAAAAATCGTTCACTAGCGACCTCTACATCTTAATACTTTTTGATAAAAATTTAGGACTGTTCTTTTGATGAAATGCTAGTTTTCGAGCTAAGTGGCCGATTAAAAAAAAATTTTTTTCCCTTGGCAATCTAATATCGTTTTTAAAATCTCTAAAATATTTACATTTTGAATTTACTAAACCATTTGTTTTTCAATATATTAAACTCACGTCGCTTTTAAAAAACGTTTTTCGTATTTCTACATTATAGGAACAAAATATTGAAAATATAAATTGGCGTAAAAAGTTTAGCGACAGTACATTGTGTATTTTAAACATGTAATTTTACATCAGATTGTTGGGTTCGTTTACATTCATCAAATATTTTAGCTGTTTATTGAACGATTTGCGCTTGTCGACGATAGCATGAAATGATCATCGAATTTGGGATTCCGAAGCAGTGCTTTCAATTGAAGCGATCTGCCGGTCGATATTTGCAATGACCTCGATTACTCTGCTCTCATTTAATGATTACGCAAGAAACTTATTATGGAGATCCAATTAAACACGCGACAGTTCGTCATCGTGTCTATTATTTCTTTTTGAGATAAAAAATCGATTACAATTCACAGTGTCAACATATTGTAAGTTGTAATCAATTTTTTATCTATTCAATTATCAAAAAAATAGAATAATATTGTCTTTTATTTTTTCAAGTATTATTCATGCAAGATTTATATATTCGTATCATAACATTGTATGCATTGCAATTGAATGTAGATAAATTTTATGTACAGTAATAAACTAACGATAAATAAAGAATTGAATTTATTAATGTAGGAAAAAAATAGTTTTGCTGAACAATCTAAAAATTCAGTTAGATACAGATCTGAAAATAATTTTGTTGGATCATTGAAATTGTTACGTAGAATGTTCAAGCTGATAATATCCCAAACTTTTTGCAGCATTTATCATGTTTGAGCATTCTACATAATTATTTTGATAATATAACAAAATTATTTTCAGATCTGTATTCTACTAAATTTTTAGATACTTCAGCAAGATCATTCTTTATACACATTTGTGACAGTTTAAATGATTTTATGATTTACTTACTTCTTCAATTTATGTAATTATTATTATATAATGATTTCAAATAATTTTTTCATAAGAGCATCACTTATTTTTATGAACTTTGATTATTAATTAAGAGCATGGATATTTTTACATATATATAAGTATATAGAAATTCTACACCTAGTAAAGTGTAATTTGTCATTCAAATAATCCTGCTAACACTAATTATGCTCGTTAATATCTTGATTTTACACTAAAAATACTTCTGCAATTTATCTCACTAATCTATACAAAAACAACAATAAACTGTCTAAAAAAATTCAACGTTTTCTTCTTACAATCCAATCAGTGCGTCCGTCAGATTCATTCGCGTCTCCTCGAACTCCAGTCTCTGCCTGTTCGTGCCTGTGGCGTGGCGTGCGAGACAACGACACGACGCCTCGTCAGTTCTTTCGTCGTGACGAATTCTGGCGAACCGTTTCTTGCTCTGTCACCGAAGTCTTCGTCGTGCGTGTCGTTGTTCTTCCTCAGATTATTTTCTTGCGTGTGAGATCGAGCTCCCAAGTTAACGCGCCGCGCAATTCGTTCTTCTCGCGTATGCTTCCAGTTACAGACTAAGCGTGTAGCTGCGTCGGTTCGAGCATCGTCAACGACGTCGACGTCGACGACGATAACAACGAGCTGCGGAGGCTCTATTTTCGCGCCTTAAGGCGCTATCACGCGAGCGCTGCTAAACTATGTCTAGAACCGCGGCTTTCTTGATCATCTTTGCGCCACGAATCACTTCCGTGAACTCCCCACGTTCTGGAGAACTGCCTCGATCAGGTCAAAACTGTTTATGACCGTCGTATGTTAAAGTAAATAGAAATAATCAATACAATTACGAAATATTATTTTCGGACAGAAATTATTTCGAAATATGTATTTCTTTTCATAATTATATTTAATGAGCAATTTGTAACTGTGATCATTCTCGAAATATTTTCGACAAAATGCTATTATATATTTTATAAATGCTATTATATATTATATATTTTGAACAAAATGCTATTTCCTACAAGTTTAAAGAAGAAATCTTGAAATTCACTTGAAAATAAATGGAAAATAGAGTTTTATTGTTATATAAAATATTGAAAGAAGTTTAATTTCAAAAATTTTAAATGTTTAATTACTTCCAATGTAAAAATACTATTGCAGCTTAAAAATGTTATATAGATATGAAGAGCTTATTTCTGTTTGACATCGAATAAAGGTCAAAGAGTCTATAGACTCTAAAGTGAAGTGTGGAGAAATATTTTGTCTTACAATAAGTCAAATGTTGGAAATCTCCAAAATGCTGTTTTAAATTAAAAAAGTCGTAAAAGTATTTGCGACAGATGTATTTAGAATGTATGACCGTTTTTCTACGAGTGGGTCATCTCCGTATGTGCCAGAGGGGCAAGTTAATTATATACCAACCTAGATATCGCATCGGTTAAGCTTTATCAGAATGAGGATCGTGAATTTAATTTTCCAAATGCCGTAATGTTCGAATTTAGATTCAGTCGAGTTATAAACCTCGCGCGCAAGCTAAATATTGGCATCGTTTCACCTAAATACTTAAGTCGTGACTACAAACAGAGATAGGACAAATATCGATATTTCTAATACACACTTTAGATGTACAAAATAACACATAAGTCAGAAGGGAAACATAATAGAAATATTGTTTCTGAACATCACGTGTGTAAATGTTCTATGTGACAGTCTCTCAAAAGTTTCGACAACACTCTGGACGTCTCTAAAGTCTTTGGAGAAATAAATTAAGCAACGAATAATACGCAACAGTTATAAGATGTTTATAACTTCGTGAATTAATTTTATATATTGTTATATAATTAAATTTTGTTGTATACGGTGAGACTTTGAAAAAAGTTTCCGTCGTTTCTGTCATCTACGCAGAAGAGTTTCCTTATAAGAATAAAAACAATGGCTGCATTAACACGAGTTGCCAAGTTACTTCATCAAATCAACCGAACGAATTAAATTAGCGCGTTAGCGTCAATTCTTCGTAGAGCGACAGAGGCTCGCGACAGAAATTAAAACCGATGTAACCTAAGCGAATTCGATTGTTTTATACGAAATGGGATAATAAGATGCATCGTAATATCACTTACCTCAATTTCACTACTACAAAAATTGCAAATATTTTCTTTATTTTATACTGTTTGTTGAATATTTGTTAGTACCTTTAATTTTATTGAGAAATCTCTCTCGCTCTCTGGCATTAATTAGTAAAAATTTATATTATAGTTAATATTATATAGATATTATATATT